GGGGGGGGGGGGGCGGGCAGCTGGGGGGCACACCGGGCAAGCCATCCCAGCCTCGCCACCCTGGCCTCGAGGACCGTACGGGCCTCGGAACACGCCGAGGCTGGAGCTCCGAGACGCAGTCTGCAGGGGCACTTCAACCACCACTGGCAAAGTGGGGCCAGAGAACCACCCCAGGACAGCGCCCCAGCTCTCTCTGGCAGGGTCACAGCCTGGCAGGAGGAACCGGCCAGCTGGTCACTGAGGAAATGAGGAGACTGTCCTCAGCCCGTGACAGCCCCCAGCTGGTGAGAATGGCCCTCACCCTTCTCCAAGGGGCCCTCACCCCCCTGCCCAGCCCAGCGTAGGGAAGGAGACTTTAGGAGAAGACCCTCGCAGCAGACTGACCAGTACACCCAGCAAGGCCTCACCCGGGATGAGGGGACTGCAACACAGTCGCAGGTACAGGCGGGGACCCCCATCTAGGCATCCCTCCTATCCCTCAGCCTGAGTAGAGGAACCACGAGGACAGAGACTTATGTCTGTCTTATCCCTGCTGGAACGCCAAGGCCAAGCATAGTGCCTGCGACACGCCAGTGTCAAACAAAGAGTGAAAACTTGGCCAAGCCCTGCCACTCCCCCAGGGCAGAAACGGTTAATCCAGTGCCCACGGGCCACCTCCATCCCCCAGACATGTTCTGCTTGCCTGCACCATGGGCCCCAAAAGTTTGAGAAAGTTACAAACCTAAACAAAGCTACAGGTTTACCGAATGTGCGGCCAACGCCAGCCATTTTCCCTCAGCGACGTGCTGACTGGCTGCACTGAGATCACACTCCCTCTCAGTAGGGTGGGCGCTCTCCAGCCTGTCCCCCGAGACCTGTGCTCACCTGAAGTAGTCGCTGCAGGCGGCCAGGACCACCTTGTGCGCGTGGAAGGTCTCTCTGTTGATGGTGAGCACGACGTCCAGGAGCTGGCCCTGGGCACGGAGGGCAGCGAGGCCCTGCAGCAGGCTGGTGCTATGGCCGGGCGCCGAGAAGGTGCACTTGAGAGCTCCATTTTTGTCAGCCATGCTGCAGGAGAGCAGAGGTGGGGGCTCAGCTCAGCGGCCACAGGTCTGTCTGGTCTCTGCCCGGGGACACTGGGCTGGCTCGCCTGGGCTCTAAAGATGCCTGAGGCGCCAACTCGCCAGGACCAGCCCCGGAGAGGCAGAAACAAAACCTGGGTCCCGGCCGCGTCTGCCACCTGGCCACCAACTGGCCTTGGCAAAGGACACCGCTTCTCCAGCCTCCATTTGCCACCTGTGAAAGGGGCAGGGTTTCTGCTCGAACTGAGGAGGCTCCAATGTCCCTTTTGTTTTTTCATTGAGGTAAGATTCACATAGCATAAAATGCACCATTTCAAAGTGAACAATTCACTGACATTTACTACCGTCGCCTCTATCTAGTTGCCGAACATTTTCATCCCCCGAAATGAGACCCCGTCCCCATCAGCAGTCACTCCCCCTCCCTCTCCCCCTCCCCCAGCCCCTGGCAACGGCCAATCTGCTTTCTGCCTCTGGATGTGGCTCCGCTGGACACTTCGTGTAAACGGAATCATATACCGTGTGGTCTTTTGTGTCTGGCTTCTTTCACTCAGCATGTTTTCGAGGGTCATCCACGTTGTAGCATGAATCGATGCTTTGCTCCTTTTCATGGCTGAGTAATGTTCCATCGTGTGGCCGGACCACAATTTCTTGATCCCTTCACCCATCTGTGGACATCTGAGTTCCTTCCACCCTTTCTCTTAAACTTTATTTCATTATTTTTCATTCTCAATGTGTCTCCTGAGTGCGTATTCTGCAGTGCAGGACTCTTTATGTCACATTACTGTCCCCCATACCCTAGCAAGCTGCCCTCCCCCCCACCGAGGGCAAACCTCTCTTCTCTCCCCTGCAGGGGCTGGGGGCGGGATTACGGTGCCGGCACAGGGCCCCAGCACAGGCATGGAGGAGGAGCTCTACGACTGACAGCTTCCAGGGCAGCTCTGGTCCCCAGGGTTGGGGTGTCGCAGGCCAGGAAAGGCCAACCTTCTTGGAGGCCCAGCTACTCTGACACCTGCCCAGTGAGCTCCTTGTGCCCAGCACCCCAGGGGAGGGCAACCACATGACCACAAAGTCATTTTCTGAAGAATTTGCTTCTAGGCTATGGTGACTGCCCAGTCTAGGCGAAAGGCCCATTGGTCCTACTTTCCAGGGACAGGGACACAATGAGTGGCTTGTCCATAGTCCCAGAGCTGTAAGACAACCAGCAAGATTTGAGCCCAGGCCCAGGACATGACAGAGTAGGTGGGATCTCCCTGTCTGTCAGGGTCAATGAAGCAGGGGAGGTGGAGGGGCACAGCAAATTGTGGGTAAGTCACAAAACCAAGAATATCTGCCCTACAAGGATGGGTTTACCTGTGGGGGTGGCTCAATGGGGGGATGGGGACAAGTGAAACAGAGGTTCCTGCACCTCAAAATAAGGACTCAGGAGGCAAAGGTCATCTTAGAACGAACAATAAAGCTTTAAAAAAGAAAGAGGTGGAAACAACCCAAAGGTCCACCAAAGGGCAAATGGAGAAACAAAATGTGGCCATCCACACAATGGAATATTACTCAGTCACAAAAAGGAATGAAGCTGAATCACGCTACAACGTGGACGAACCTCAAAAACATGACACTGAGTGAAAGAAGCCAGTCACACAAAGTCATAAATTGTATGATTCCTTTTGTATAAAAAGTCCAGAACAAGCAAATCCATAGACACAGAAAGCAGATTAGTTGTTGCCAGGGGCTGGGCGTCAGGCGTATGGGGGATGACTGCTGAGAGGCACAGGTCTCATTTTGAGGTGATGGAATTGTTCTGGAACAAGTTAGAGGTGATGTTTGCACAACACTGTGAGTGCACTAAATGCCACTGAATTGTGCATTTTAAAATGGTGGATTTGGGGGGCGCCTGGGTGGTCAGTTGGTTGAGCGTCCGACTTCGGCTCAGGTCATGATCTCGCAGTTTGTGGGTTCGAGCCCCATGTCAGGCTCTGCACTGACAGCTCAGAGCCTGGAGCCTGCTTCAGATTCTGTGTCTCCCTCTCTCTCTGCCCCTCCCCTGCTTGTGCTCTGTCTCTGTCTCTGTCTCTCTCTCAAAAATAAATAAACGGTTAAAAAAATTTTTTTTA